ACTAAAAAGGAAAATGTACCACACAATGCAAAACAACAGTTATACAGTATTATAATTTTTGTGTTTTGTCATGGGTCATGAGTTTTCAACCAGCTGTGCATCCATCAGGTTGGTTTTTAAAGATGCTAGAATTTGGGACATGTTTTGTACCTGGAGCATGTTCACTACTGTGTGTGTGTGTGTGTGTGTGTGTGTGTGTGTGTGTGTGTGTGTGTGTGTGTGTGTGTGTGTGTGTGTGTTGCCATTTACTATTAGCTGAAAATAGTGTGAGGTGATGGAAACATTGCTTTAGTAGAAGAAGCAATAAAATGGTTGGATGTAAAAGACTTCACTACAAATAAAACTGTATTATTGGCAAATTCCAGACAAAGCAGCAAAAATAAATATTCCTCCTCAGCGTTACATGGATTAGCATTATTGTGAGCTCATTTTAAACACTTTACATTCTGCTTACAATCAGCTCAGAAACACAGGCCTACATTTTGATTTACCGAAGTATATTAAATATATTTATTTAAAAACAGGTGAATTAAAGGCTTGAGCCTTTGACTTTCAATATCTACAGTAGGATTTGTATTAGAAAAACAGCTGGTTAAACTTGATGCTAATCTGAAAGCGTTTGTGGAATCTGTTTGACACAGGAGGAGTTACCTTCTCCTTCATTGAAGCTTTCTTTACTAACATGGTAAACAAGTTACATATGTTACACATGTTGGCTGTGATGGTCAACAGGAGAAACTCCATTCAACTCAAGTGCAGTGAAAGCAATGTAAGCTTGTCTACTATGCTAGTCTCCCATCCATCACCTGTGATGGAAATAGATGTGTGAGAAGACTTCTGACACAATACTGAGATGAAAGGAGAAAGACCCTGACAGAACACTACTGTTTTATACATATTTCAGACCTGGTTATGTGTGTATGCCGGCGATATGAATGAGGCCCCAGAGGTTTAAAATATGGGTAACTAAAGTTTTTTTTATTTTTTATATAAGATCAAGGATCTGTCCATGTCAAACAAACTGTTGGCTTTCAGTCGTGTTTAGTCATATTTATTCCTGTTTAAAAAATCCATCAGTGAATAAATACTTAGGTCAAATATTTTTGCTCTACAACACCTCGGTAAGAAATAATAAAAACACTGTATTACTGAGCACAGGAAACTTATTAGAGCTTCAATTTAAATGGAATATAAGGACTTGTGCCACTCTGCTAAGAATGAATACAGTAAATACCATTATTCCTCTTACCTGTTACAGATAGATTGTAGGAAAGCGCGCCTTACTGCATTTATTAACTTGCCAAAAAAACTCATAACTCCACCTTAAAATTAATAAGACTTGACATTGTTATCTGAGACTCTAAATTCATCAGGAATTTTTTTTTACTGAGGTTACATGTCAATGGAGGCTGAAGGGTAGTTTTGCCTTAATGTCTGTGGTGGTGGCTGTGTTGGTATGCTATATGAATGAGTAGAAATCATTAAAATTCATCTTTCTAAGTTGTAAAAATTAAAACATGAAAAACACATGTTGACAAAAAAAATACATTATATGATTTTAACAACAGCCAGTAGCACTGGCAGCATTGGCTGACTTTTTTCTGGTATTACTCTGAAAAAGCAAGTGGAACTCAGAGATATGAAATGTAATTTCCATATTTAATCATCTGTTTGACTCCTTTACCGAGTGTGAGCTGGTGTGCGAGTGAGTATTTATGGATTCAAATGAAGACTCCTGTCTTCATTTGAATCCAAGTCTAGCTTCAGGGGATTTTTTTTTTTATTCCTCTCACCAACCTGTCAGCTACTTGTTGCCATGGTAGCATTATGTCAGAAGAGTGAGTGTGTGTGTGTTTGTTTGTTTTTGTGTATGTGTGTATGTTTTATGATGTTGACAGATGAAGCTGTAGGGGTGATGTGCTTATTGATACATAGAGATGTTTCTCCGACACCCACGTGTGAATAAACATCAGTAATGCACATAAAGAATAAATGCAAAATTATGTCATTAAACCTGGGACCAAAATAACAGTGTGACCAGCATTCTGCTTTGACCTTTTAACTAGAGCACTCCACTTTGATTGCCTGCAGTCAGTGAAGTAAAGTAGGATTTGAGGTTTTGGTGACAGATACTGTGTGTTCAAATCTTAGCCAATGTAAAGGCTTAAAATATGCTTAAATCACAGTTGCACTTTAAAGAGTCTTTAAGGGACAGTCCAATATTTCTTTTGGAAAGAATGATACCACTGTTTTATCTTAGCTTCACCAGCAAACACTGAAAAATCATCCCATTTACTGCTTGTTTAAACTTGGCAAACAGCTATACATTTATATTGTGCTTGTTATTCAAGCACTTTACAATTTGATTGTCATACACCCATTAGCACACACACCAAGACTGTGAACCAGGTTATAAGGTGACACCACTGGCAGCCACTAAGTGCGCTCCCTTTAGCTGATTTTAATACACTGGTAGAATGGCTGGAGAATGCGATAATTCCTCAGTGGAGCTGGAGGTAGCTCTGAGGTTTTCAGTCTCCACAGTCTCTTGGTGTAGCATTATACTCGGATACTGAAGGTCATATGTCAATCTACACTTGATGCAGAGATAGATGCTGTTGTGTGTTGGGTTTCTGAGTGGTCAGTGCACAAACAAATTGGGTCACAAATCTCAGCTTGTAAAAAATGGGTTGTTGATTGGTGACTGAATCCCCTTCAGTGGTTTGAAAAATTCAATTTTGTATTATATTGGAAAACAGCAGAGTGAATGTCGCTTTAGCTGTGTCCCCGGGCGACAGCATTAGAGGAAAAAGTAACACAACTGCTTATCGTACATGTGGCATCTTTGGATAGAAAAAAAGCACCTGCCTTCACCCTCCGTATTCAGCTGTTGAAAGAGGGCACAGCGAAACAAGGATCACAGCGATCGATTTCGATCAACGCTCTCTCCGTCACACACATGCTCACACACGCAAGCAGGAATGTAAAGCCAATAGCTGTTTGGTCATGTGTGACAAGTTACAGTTAAACCATCTGCTCTGACCTCGTTAGACTTATTGTCTTTACTGTATACTATACTATACTAAGTATACACATGCTAATGATTATATTTTAGAAAAGAAGCGTCTAGTTATGCAATTTCATTATGCAGAAATGTTAATTCTCACAATAGGTCTTTGCTCAATTGTTATTGGTAAAGATGCATATTTGATGCATTCATCTTTTTTTTTTTTTTAAATGGATCAGATTGAAAAGAATGAAGTAAAGTCCCAGTTGTTATTGTAAAACCTATGTAAAATATGATATTTACAGTACTATCTTTTATGGTATTTATCAGCGTTGCAGAAAGCTCAGTAAGTTTAGTCAGCATAATAAATGCATTTAACGAGCGTTTCCCTAGATATGCCTGGAGGAACTGAGTAAATGTCATGGATTTGGATGCACAATAAATTAAAACATTTATTTATGCAGAAACATGTACTTGTGTGTGCCTGAATGCATGACTAGTAATATATAAGTTGCACATAACAAGTAATGTTTTAACCACTTGCACATATATCTTGTTAATAAATACAAAGGTGCAGTTCAGACATGAACAAAATTAAATAAATGTTGAATATGAAGCAAATGTAGCCAAAGCAGAAAACAGTCATTATACAGGTGGATTTAAATGCGGAGTATGTGTCATGCAGTAGATAAATTCAGAAAATCATCATATACGTACATTCTGACAGGGTCTCATAAATAATAATTCACAGCACAAAGACATTTGAGCTGGTGAAAATTAGCATAAAACTCCTTCCCTCAAAAAAGAGGAATGCTGCTTTTGGTTTACCTCATTGGGATTATTCATGTTGCATTTTTCACTACAAATGTGTTTTTGTTTAGTTTTTATTTTTAATCTTTATATGTGAAAAATACAGTCTTGTTTAAAAAAAGACATCTCTTCAACCACAGCACATCAATATTAAAATATAGAGTAATTAAAATGCTAGCATAAAGTTTGACTGATGCCAATTGGTTACTGTTGAGTTTGACCGTCTGCTCTGAACTGACTAAAAATTGAAACTGACACAATACATTCTAATTGAATGGACCACTAAACTGTACTGTACACATTACATTACTGTGCAATATACTGAACTGTACATTAAAGGGAAGATTTCTTTTTAGCACAAAGCAGAAGTGGTTTCTTTCTTCTGGGTCCACACATTCAGTGATTAAACTTGTAAGTGGCCTTGTGCCTACTCACAGAACAGGAGTTACATTTAGTAACAACTGTTATTAACTACTGTTTTTGTACAGTTGTTATTCTAGCACTCATTTAAATTGTAATGATCAGCCAAAAATGAAAAATAATACCTTTAACAGTGGTATGAGACCGTTCTCATTCTCAACGCATAACATTACCAACGATTTGTCACGTCTCGAGGCATCCCATAGAAACGTGAAAGGTAACCTGTCGCATCCCTATGAGGAGCACCGGATTGTGGATGGAATCCAACAGAATGACACTTCTGGCGGTAACACATGTTCCAGCTGTTTATTCCAGCCCTAACCCAACCATAACCTTATCCCTAACCTTAACCACAATCTTAATCGTATTAGATAGTGTTTTCCAAAGCGATTATTGATGAGAAAATAAATATACATCTGTAGATTCATTCCAAATGGTTCTCGTGTTTCCGAACACGTAACATACAGACAGGTTGGATGGCCGAAAGTGTAACATATCGACATTTGTCACATGGCGTCGTATGTTACGTTATGGGATAAGAACGTGTTGGTGATATCAGATGATTTGTTTTTTGTCTTTTTTTAGTATTACTTTTTACCTTTATGATATATGAGACCTTGTTGAGTATTTTTACCTTTTAGTTTTGTGACACCACAATGTACAGGTGTAATCCTTGCCTTTCGTGTGAATATTGTCTGGTGGTAACAGTTGTACTTTAATAGCTTTTATGAGCACTAATCCACTTTCTCCATACTGTATACAGGTACCCTAAACCAGCGCAAGTGGGGTAAGAAGTATCCATCCTGTAACAGTCCCAGACAGTCTCCTGTGGACATCGACGAGACATTTACCCAGGTTAGGCTGCAGTACCAGAATCTACAGCTAGAGGGCTGGAACAGCTTGACAGCAGAGTCTACCACCATTCACAACAACGGGAAGACTGGTATGTTGATAGCCCTCTACTGTCCCTTGTGTGCTTTTGTTTGTGTTTGACCCTAATACGTATAATTTCCAGCATCTATCTTTTTACCTTAACCAGTGCTGTTTCTTAATTTTCTTTAAAAAAATATTCTGTCCTGTCCAACGACAAGCCAGTTCATCTCTACTGAACTATTTCACCAGCTTATTAAAGTATTAAAGTAGCGAGCACATGAGGTAGAGATACAATATATGGTCAGTTCAATTTACGGCAATGATTTTGACATACTCGTGGAGCTCGAAATTACAACATCTTAATCTCTGGCTGTGGAAATAAGCTTAACTTTCTAAATACCACAAAAAAAATGATTCACAGTTCTGAGGTTAATGAAGGAGAGCGCAGCTAGGATTTAAAGCAGAACAAGTCAAAGGAAGATGAAGAGAAAGAGACTAAGTAATTGAGAGCGATGCAACTAGAGGGACAGCAGCAGAGGGAGACCGTGTGGAGAAAGAAAGATCGATGCCAAGAGGCAGAGATGAAACTGAGCAAAAGAAAAGAGGCGACAAAAGAGCAAAGGGAAAACGTATAGAGAGGGAAGGCATGAAATGAGGACGATGTGAAGAGACAGGCAGGAGAGGCAACATGTGGAGTGATGTCTGGTCTGATAAACAAATGAAAGCTGGCTGAGCTATCATCACCCTCTTTCCAATACTGCCTGGGCTGTGGGAGTGTGTGCTTCTGTGTGCGCTCTGTATATGTTAATGGTTCCAAAATTAATCCTTTCTTGCTCTGTCTGAGAGGAAATTGCATATTAAACAGATATTCCATTGCTGGCAGGATTTTCATGAGAGAAATGTATAGCCTACAGAGTCTCATTAAAATGTTTTATTATGTTGTGAGATATTTTTCAGCAAAGTAGAAAGTGATATACCAATTGATCTGGTGATCACCAGTATTCAGCTGATGGGCCATGACAGGAACCTAACCAATCAGCCTCAGATGTATCAGATTTTGATCTCATAAGCCCGTGCTTGTGATTGTTCTGCTTGGTAGCAGTATGCTGTGTGAGCACCTAAACCAGTATAACACTGGCATATTGATTCTTCTCTGAGACCGTAATGCTAATGCTAACACTTTAACTAAGTAGGTTCGAGCCCAGCCTTGTGGTGCTTATGACAAAAAAATTGTTATTGTTTTTTTAAATTGTTGCTGCTCTAGCGCAGCTGAAACTGATTAACAATTCCCTCTCCCACTTAACTAACCAGATCAATATGCTAGAGGTTTAACTGGCTTGATGCTAAACTCGGATTAAAAAGTGTTTCTTTAATTAATTAATTTTTTTAGAAGATAATTTTGAAGGGGTGATTGTGCCAAATTTGATCACATGAAATTTTTAATTTTTATGAGGTGAGAAGTATGTTTCAGAATTAAAAGTTACTACTGTCTAATCTGTTGCTTAGGCTGTCAAACATTAAAGACATACTTTGAAGTTAGGAGAGACTGAATACATATAAGTAATGAGTCCTGCCTAAACAAGATTGATGATCGGCCTTTTTGGCTTCTGTGAGACTCTTTTAAACTTGTGTTCTATTGTGCATTTTAGTGGCAATCGATGTGGATGGGGAGTTCTTTGTGAGTGGCGGAGGGCTGAGGTCCAGGTTTCGTGTTGGCAGAATCACCTTCCACTGGGGTCGCTGCAATGCAACATCAGATGGGTCTGAACACAGTCTGAATGGAATGAAATACCCTCTGGAGGTAAAGGACAGTGGTGCACAGCATCAGTTTGGCTTTTTTAACCAATAACCTTACACCGTGATAACTTTTGTGTCTCTTATGGATCAGATGCAGATCTATTGTTACAATTCAGAGGAGTTCCAAAGTCTGGATGAAGCTATAGAGAAAGAAGGAAGGGTGGCTGCCTTAGCTGTGCTATTTGAGGTAGGCTGATCTGATAACTGACCTGATCACCTGATAACTAAAGTGTCATTATTAGGGTCCAATCGGTTTCTCCTCAGATACTGTAAATGTAATATTGTCATTGTTTGTCTATGTGATCCTCAATAATAGCTTGTGCTTTTGTCTGCAGATTAGCTTGGATGATAATGAGAACTTAATTCCTGTTGTGGAAGCCATTAACACTGTCAGCAGGTTTGGTAGGTTGAAGCTACAGGACAGTGCATTGCAGCTTGTGAACAATGAACATTAAATATCAAGCTATCAAATCGAGAGATAAACAAAAGCGTATGTTTTAGCAAATATAACCCAAAACACGTAATCAGGGAAAGCAGGCCTAATTTCAATTTTTCACTTAAAGGTACAGTAAATATTTTCTTTTGAGCTCAGATAGAATGTTGTACTCAATATACATCAAATAGTGTGAAATTACTTCTTACAGCAAGTTTTGTGTTCTCAAAAAGAATTAATCCATTAAAAGTACATAGGAAGCAGCGCTGCTAGACATCACTGTTCTGCCTTATCATGTTTTATATGTGTGACTAGAGACTGTCCACATATGTAGTATGTCTTATAAATTAAATTTAAAGATCACAAAACTCTTGTGACCATTTAACATATTTTCAAATCAATTAAATTTTATTTATACAGCGCCAAATTACAACAACAGTCGCCTCAAGGCGCTTTATATTGTAAGGTAGACCCTACAATATTTTCATCATCTTTTTCTCATCATGTCTTTCTTTATCTGCCTACTCCACCACTGCTGTTTTTCCCCTCTTATTTCTTAATTTCTACCTCAATCTTCTTTCTCCTCACCAGAAGCATCACCTCCTAGGCTGAAGTCAGGGCTCTAATACATGAAAACATGCATAGAAATGCTCATTTACTCCCAGTATTATTGCTATTAATTATGAGACTGCTTAGACTCCATTCCGTCTCCAGACCAACTCAAAACAAGCCAGATAAGCAGTAACAACAACTAGTTATTAGCTAAAGTTATGCATTAGGCTCGAGCATAATAAAATCACACTTCCCCTCTGATAAACATTAACCCCAGGTAAATTACATTCTCAAACTGTATAAGAGTTTATTTGTTAAGTGTCCAAATCTAACAATGTTGGATCCGCTTTAAAGAAAGTTTCACTGATAACAGCAACTGACCGAGGCTAACAGCAGCTAACAGCAGCAAAAACAACAGTGCTTACCAACAGAAAAGTTCAGAATATCAACAACTCACCTTAGTGCAGCTGTTATTAAACAGAAGTGAGCTTCATTGACTCATCGACTCGTATGGGACTTCTTTTGCAAACCTTCACAGCCTCAGAATGACTGCAGTCATACATACAGCTGAGGTAAACAGTGCACGACAACCAGAATGAATCTGAGAAAAATTATGAAGGAGTGCTATAAATGACCAGAGAACAACATTTAGGGATATTTTTAAAATGTTAAAGATGTTCTTGCAGCTTGTAGAAAAGATTTGCTATTTGTTGTTTTTTGCAAGGTAAGAGTGGGTCAGTGGAGGCATTCACCTTGAGGTCCTTGCTGCCAAATAACACAGACAAATACTACATCTACAACGGCTCACTGACTTCCCCCCCATGCACTGAAATGGTGGAATGGATTGTCTTTAAGCATGTTGTGCCCATATCGGAAACACAGGTAAGTACACTGAATCACACACACGCTTACCCCCAAAACTGGCCAAATGTAACACTGAATTATTTATTCAAAAGAAAAAAAAAATACTACATAGAATAAAACCATTCAAATATACATTACAGCATTATTTATATAATCATGAAAATGCTGATGCTTCTACGTGTTTAAATTTCGGGACCTTTGGTATTTAATTAAGTCAGAAGTAAAGACTCCTACAAACAGCTACAAGCAAGAAATTCAGCTACTGTTATTTATTTTATCACCTGATCAGGTTTGAGATTCGCATACAGAGACAGGTCTGTGTCAGCCTGTCATTTATATATATCTCATTATCTTGTATTGGCGTCCCCTCCAGCACTTGGTGCCCTATGCACAGCACATGATGTGCATGAACAAAACAGCAGAACTGCCTGCAGTTGTGTCTGGTTGTTGTGTGAGGTTGGCATCAGGTCAATTGTCTTTGACATCTCTGCACAAAATAAAACAAAATGCTGCATTGAAGCGATGCAGTGTGACACATTAAGTCAAACTGCACAGAGCAGGGTTTTGTAGCAGGGTAATCCGGTAAACATGGCATCACGGGCTGACGCAGCAGCATTACTACATTTTGATTCTGGACTGACGACGCTTAAGGACCCCTGACTTGACGAATTGATCCGTGTAATAATCATCACTTTTGCAGCAGAGTAATGGAGAGGGAATGAGGCCTTGCGAATGGTTGCGTGTGTATTGTACATGAATATTTGTGTGTGTTTTGTGAGTGCATGCATGATTGAAACAGTGTGGCAAGGCATGACACAGGCATATTCATGCTAACCAAAAATAGAGCAGCGCTGCCTCTCTGCCTCAGCCTGGCACCAACACAAGCCACTTTAACACACACAGAGAAACACTCAGAAGCATCACTTTTGGTTTATTTCAGCAGCCTGATAGAGATTAGCAGGAAGATGTGCAACATTTTCTCTTTGTTTACCTCTGTGTGTTTTCTGTCTGCCACCAGCTTGAGGTGTTTTGTGAAGTGATGACTATGGAGCAGGCTGGTTATGTGATGCTGACGGATTACCTGCAGAACAACTTCAGAGAGCAGCAGCAGCAGTTTATGGGTCAGGTGTTTGCCTCTTACACTGGAGTCGAGGAGGTGCTCACACCCAGTATGTCATCACAGTCTAAAGGAAAAGTTTGCCATCCATTTATCCATCATATGTGTTTTTACTGACCTTTTTACAAGTTTTTTTTATGATTATTTACTGTGCACACTAATAGTCGCATTTACCAGCGTCTCCAAAAGTAAGACATTGAGATACAATGCTATTCACCCCCATCCCAATACAGCATGCTATAATTTTAAATTGTGAAAAAAAACATCCTTATTAGGTTTTAAAGAGTTTGACTCAGAGTCTCTGAAGCTTTTCACCAATCTAATTTATACCAAATTTTGCGTGCGTGGAGGAGAAAATTGGATCACCGCTCAGGGATCAGTATAAGTATTGCATTATTAATCTTATGTTTTTTCACTCCACTAAAAATATTGCCCATCTTCTGCATCCACTATGGTTGTAATGTGGTCCTTCAAGGCTAGCCTGATTATGATCATCAAAAGATACAATTCACCGCACTCTCCATTTTCATAAAGGGGACCTTGAAATAAAGTGGGTCTTTTGGGTTGCCAAGCAGCTCGACTTTGTAATTCAGTGGCCCTGCTTCTCTCAGTGCAGGCAATTTATTTTGCAGCTCTTTTTGAAATTGAAATAACGTTTTCAGAAATTCAGAAAGGCTTTATTTTGTCCCTGTAACAAATTCATCCACCCATGCACACACGCATACACTCAGCCTCCCAGTTTCAGCAGCTGATTAATATCAAGTTGCCTCAGAAACTCAGAACTCAATGTGGGGAACGTTTATGTGTGCTCATACTTGATGTTTACTTGCAGTTGCTGCTATCATCTCTTTATTTCTCATTCTTTTTTTAAAAACGTTTCTTGCATGCTATTCATGTTAGTAACCTGTCTTTCTGTGCACTGCCTCCAGCTTGCAGCTCTGAGCCACAGAATGTTCAGGCTGATGCTCAGAACGACACCACCATCATGGTGACCTGGGAGCGTCCCCGTGCAGTGTATGACACAACCATCGACTGGTACACTGTCACATACCAGAAGCTGCAGGGCCAAGACCAGCGCAAGCAGGAGTACAGGACCGACGGAGACCAGGATGTGGTATGCAAGATCTTTTTATATCTCTCCACAAAATGCTGAAAAACAGCGCCTGGATGTGTAATTTCATGTTGTTTTGTACTATTATCTACTGTCCACACAGCAATATTAAACTGATAAATAGGTAACCAATAGAAATTACAGTAATTTCCTGTACTTTTGGTGAAAATCAAGCATTCCTACCATCTGCTCTTCCTCTCCATGTATCTCTCACATAGTTCAGCTGCTGCTGTTGGTGGTGACAGTCAGTTTTTGCCTGTCAGTGAGTCACTGAACATCCCTTATTGTGACTAACAATATCCATGTATTTGTATTTCAGAGTACAAGATTTTCAGATTTCGGAGATTTTCATTTCCAGTCTTTATTTTATTATTTTTTTTATTGTCGACTTGTAGTTTCATATTTGTTTTAGTGTGATAGTGGTGGTGAATTTAACTTCCTTATACTTAAAGACATCCAGGAGTCATGTGTCATCCATGTGGGTAATTCTGAGAGAGAGTACATGAAAAAAGATGAGTGACTGTGTGTAGAAAGAAGCAAGTGAACAGGCAGATAAATGCAAATAGATACTTAGTAACTGTTAAGAGGGTTAAGTATATCTTTAAGATACTAAAAGTGTCATTGTGACTGCAGATTCATTGTAAAAAGACATTCGGTTCGACTCAAGAGGATTCGCATTGAATTCACTTAGAGCAGGGGTGGGGGAACTCCAGGCCTCAAGGGCCGGTGTCAGGTATTAGATGTCTCCTTGATCCAATACAGCTGATTTAAATGGCTAAATTACCTCCTCAAAGGCTGTGTCCAAATTCAGGGGTAGCATGCTTCGAAGGACCCAACCTATCCACTCCACGTAGGGTAGGGTCCTTCGAAGCATGCTACCCCTGAATTTGGACACAGCCAACATGTCTTGAAGTTCTCCAGAGGCCTGGTAATGAGGGTCCATTTGAAAGGATCTAACATAAGTCTAACATGTAAATTTGCAGGGTGCCATCATCTCCAACCTGCTGGCCAACAGCAGCTATGTGGTCCAGGTGGTGGCTGTTTGCACCAATGGACTCAGAGGACGATGGAGCGACCAGATAATCGTGGACATGCCATTGGAAGACCCAGGTACAAAGACACACAAGCATGCTCCTGGTGAGAGCACATTTTTACATGCTAACTCTTTCTTTCTTTCTTTCTTTCTTTCTTTCTTTCTTTCTTTCTTTCTTTCTTCCTTCCCTCCTTCCTTCCTTCCTTCCCTCCTTCCTTCCTTCCTTCCTTCCTTCCTTTCTTCCTTCCTTCCTTCTTGTTTTAGAAAGCGATTCTGACCCTGAAGCTGTCACAAAGGATTTGGAAGGAAACAGGGAGGTAAGCTTGTCTGAGCTATCTGTGTTTTCACTTGACCACATAATTGAGCTGAATTTTGTGCAATTATTTTGCAGTGCTGACTTTTGACCTGTCGGCAATAAAATCAGTGCATCTAATTATTATGCAGATTAATGTAATTATGTTTGTAGAGGCTGTGAGAGCTTTATAAAAGGTTGTGAGGGACTTTTTGAGGGACATGTTGAGTTGGGATTACCAGAAAAAACAGTAATCCTACTGTAATTTTTCACTCTTTTCAGGAGGAAGAGGTGAAATTGTAAAACTCCTTCATTTTTTTGTTTCTAATTTCCTATAAACACAGTATACACATGACATACCTGTTTTTTATTCCTCTTTTAAGCTTTCGTCCATAGTCAGATGGGAGAAGCCAGTGAAGCAGAATCCGATGCATTTAGCTTCAGAGGACAACAGCCCAGTGGAGGCGATTCCACTGGAGCAGACCAGAGTTTACCAGAACCAACCTTCATATCATGAGAACCAGCCCACAGACCGAACCCAAGCCAGCCAGAACATTCCAGTCCAAGAAGGCACCACTCCAACCCCGAAGACACCCACCGAGGCCCCAGTTTCTCAGAATGTCAGAAAGAAACAGGGTAAAAAATCACATGATGTGGATCAGAACTGGATTGAAGGTGACCAGATGATGAACCAGCCTTTCACTAATGCAGGCTTTGAGGGCAATAGCGCAATATGGGTTACCACTGAGCTAACTGAACAACCAGGCTTCCTATTTCCAGTTGTTCGGACAACCTCTCTGCCAGCAATTCGCCGGCAAATCACAGAAGAGGCATCGCTGTCAGTGCTGCCACATGAGGTAGTTGCTCATACCGCAATTTACTTTGATTTTTTCACTTTAAAACTTTTAATTTGAACAAACATAAAGACTCACTGTTACTTGCAGCAACAATTTTTTTCATTCAACCTAATTCAGTTCTTCATCTGTTCTTTTATCCACTGTATCTTTTGCTCGCAGACAAGAGATCAAGGCCCACCACAGCAAGCCAGTGGAAATAGCCTCCCTTCTGCTTCACCAGAGCTCTACACAACTCCTATGGAGGATATCCACATCACAGATGTCTTCTATGAAGACACAGTCAACAACTCTCCACAGGAAATCATCACCTCCCCTCCAACGACGCCTGCCTCTGCAGTGCCAGGTCAGATCAGAGAATAAGTGCTTTTCTTGTTTCTTTCTGTTTGTTTCTGCTATTGCAGCTTGTCACGCAGAGCGAGGAGGGAGTTTAATCTAACAGGTACAAACAGAAGATTAAGTCCGCTGGGCACTTGCCAAGTGGTGTAAATCTTTTACTGTTTAGTTTCAGTTTGAAACTGTTTGTCTACATTTAAAATGAACTAAACCTGAAATTATAATCACTGTAGAACATTTAGACCTTCTGGAACATCGTTTCGGCACAACGTGTCTTATGAGACATATTGAGAATGAGACAGGTTCAGTTTACACCATCTTTTCTTATTTATCATTTTGTCCGTTATATAGTGGACGAAGCCTTCCCGCCGCCCTCTGAAGATGACGATGCCCCTGTAAATGAGCCCCTGCCAAAAACGCTACCCTCCTCATCTCTCTGGATCACAGAAAAGACGGCGACCCCCAGCAACACACTTGCCGATTCAGTTTACAAGTCCTTCACTACCTCCTCTCTCCTCAGAGTGCTGATGCATACGACTCAGCCCATGTTCAATGGTGAGATGTAACAACTTCTCTAGGAATCAATCAAACACACCATTAGACAAAATAAAACACCAAAACTGATCTCCAGGTCTTAATAAAAGCAGTTGTGAATTGTCATATTGATGAATTTTAATGCATAGGAACATGATTAAGTTCTTCTGTGGTGGAAAGCTGGATTTAAGTGTGGTGGTTGTTTGCTTTTCTCCTCTAATGGCCTGTGGCTGTGTAGCTAATCACTGCTGCGCTCTCTGATCAGTTGTTTAGTGACATGATGTGGATAATGTGGTGGTGGTAATTATGATGGCCAGGAAAATTATGTTGGCTTTGATGATTAGAGTGATGATCAGCAGCTTCCTTTCTTGCTTTGGTTTTTGGTCCGGAAATTAAATATGTTTGACTCTTGCAAATCTTTCAGCACATACCTCAAGAAGGTCAAGTTTTTTCCTTGCTCAATGTAATCTACTTGAATCCACTCGAGCTTGGTGATTATCGTCTGCTTTGGGACTCCTTCTCTGTGTCTGAATTCTTTCTGCGCCTCAACAGCGCACTCTGGTGGTTGTTCTTTTCCTCTGTCCTCTTTAAAGAATGAAGGCTTTGCTTCATCTCCAGGGTGCCTCATCTGCTAGTACCCTTTATGGAGAATTTTCGCACACTCAATGAAGAACAGTTCTTTCCTTTGCTTCCATCTTTGCTGGCTTGAGAAACACAAAATGAAAGGAGATATTTCTGTAAGCTTTCTGTCTTGGATTTTTTTTTTTTTTTGACTTTGCAATATTTTGCAGCAAATACAGCCACGTCGACGGTTGAAGACTCGACCATTGATGCCTCGTCTGGCTTCAAAAACACTCAAAAGGGAATTATCATCAACCCTGCACTTGCAACAGTCTCTGAATGGGCATTTTCTGCTGAAGGAGATTTATCCAGTGTAATCCCTCCATTACAGACACCCTTCAGCAAAGACCCTGCCATCTTCCATCTTTTTCCTGCCCTCCATGAAAACAGGAAAAGTGGTGTTATCGTTCATCATAATGACAAGTCCTCTGAAGAGCCCACTTTTGTTCCTTTGCAGACTGATGTAGAAAACCCTCAATTCTCTACCACGTCTTCACATGATCAATTATTTGCCACTTATTCCCTTCCTAATTCTGGTTGGAGTACCATAAACCCATCAAAAACAAACACTGCTGATGGAGAAAAAAACAAGTCTCCTCATTCTCAAAGTGATAGCAAGATAGGAGAAATGGAAGCCAGGGCGGATAAACAAATTGATAACTACAATGTCAGTGCAATAACATTTTTCTTTAATTCCAAAAGTCTGGATTTGTCAGAAAGTTCAGCAGAAGACAGTGGATCAGGCTCTGGCCTTGGCAGCAATGGCTTCAATGAGGAAATCAATGAAGCTGCTGCAGTAAAAACTGAATTTTCAGTGTTTGACATTTCAACTATTAGCTTCGAGGACAAAAGTAGATCAGCAGTAACTAAGATGGTCACTGATAATGACAGATCAGTGATCAATGAAAGAGATGTAACAAAAAGCAAAAACTATGAGAATGAAAAAGAGTCAAAGAATGAGATACGGGAGAATGAAAGCGAGCTAAACAGAAAGGAAGGAGAAAATATAAGAGAAAGGGGAGTAAGAAATGAGAGTTTAAGAAATATTGAGGAGATGCTGAAAGAAAAAAAGATAGTGGTAAGTGTATTAGGAACGACAATATATGGTGATAGCGGAAGTGGAGCTGAGGATGTCAGTGGCTCTGGGGAGCATGATGGGCTTGACTTTAGAGAAAATCTAAAGGTACTTAATAACAGTAAAAAGGGTTTTAGAACTGTAGGTGACAATAATGCCAAAGGTCTTAAAGGCAATTTTTCAAAAAGTGAAAAAGCAGAGTCCATACTATTTGACCACAGTGAAGAACAAGGCCATGGTGACAGAATTTATAAACACAATCAAAACAAAAGCCTTATAGGTCCATTTTTAGGGGTTGAATCTACTTTTGAGAATAAAGAATACTTAAAAGGAGGTACTAAAGAGGACAAAGAAGGCATAGCTGAAGACAGTGTGCACGAGTTCTCCAGTGTAGATGGGTTATTGTTTGATGGTGCAAGTAACCCTGAGTTGGGACCTCTTGTTCCTCTGGTCAGACTGACGGACACCGACAAGGCAACAGAGGAGCAACTGGAAGGTAAATACTGTAGTATTTGACACAGCCCTGGCTGTTTGTTATGGAATGTGACATGCATACAAGTCCAATTTCAGCTAACTAGGTTTGAGGTCTCCAAAAGTTGATTCATCTGGACGTAGCGTTTTCAGTGGGAGAAACGTTTCGTCACTCATCCAAGTAACTTCTTCAGTCTCAGCTGACTGCAGGTTTCCCCAACCTTATAAACAGTATATTTGCATAATGACTGAAACCAGCCCACTGAAGGAACGATGGGCTGGGAGGTCAGCCCATTGTTTGAGGTTTGAGGTGGTGGACTTCTCTTAATTTAACCTTGATCAGAGTCAATAATCAAGTAGAATACAGAAGCAATATTACTGGTGGAGACACGGACAGTTAAATCTGGATCAACTGACTATGCGTTATGTGGTAAGATTGCAGACAGCACATTACAATGTTTGACAACTGGTTCTGGCTTGGTCTGAATCTTTAGCAGGTGAAGATCCAGAGCTTTTTCTCAGGAGTTCGAGGAGAAAATTGCACTTCTCTGTGGCAAGACAGGAAATCTGATTGATAGTATATTCAGCTCTCTTAATACATCCATGGTAGGAAACAGTTTGAAAACATGCTAGATATGTCATCTTAGAAGATGATAACAGACTTCTGATGGTAGGAAAAGGTGATTTGAGACAAGCTTTGTTAACAGCTCCTCTTAAATGGAATATAGTCAATCCCACCTTTATAAGTATGATTACTTATGTCCAAAAGTGGGCATTAGATCCACACTTAATTCCAGACCAGTTGTTTTTCACAGGAACCTTTGGGGAACAGTTTGAAATTCTTATGTAAAGTTTTTTTGTGCTCTTAACTGTTGCTCTGTGTTGTAAATAATAGCAATTTAAATTCATAGTTCATTCTTGACTTTCAAACTTGTCTTCTACTCTCTTACAGAGCGAAGCAACAGCAGCCACGAGTCTCGGGTCGGACTTGTTGAGGGTGTGGACAGAGAGAAGAGGACAGTCATTCCTCTGGCTGTCGTATCCACTCTCACCATCCTTTGTCTGCTGGTACTAGTGGGAATACTCATCTACTGGAGGTACGTGCCAACTTAAACATACTGTGCCTGTCTGTATAGTTTGCACCCTTGCACTTTACTTCAGATTTTATGTCTGTGTGTATGTCACAGAAACTGTTTCCAGGCAGCTAATTTCTACCCAGATGACACATCGCCTAAAGTTGTATCTGCTCCATCTACACCCCTGCTGTTGGCCACAGGTGACATGCTCAAAGGATCCCCTAGTAGTCTTATTGTAACTGTTAGGCTGAGGTGACCAGGATGTAGTTAATATTCAGTCTTGTGTTCCAGATGGTCACGAGCCGCTGACAGTGAAGCAGTTTGTGAAGCATGTCATGGAGCTCCAGACCACCAACACTTTCTCCAAGGAATTTGAGGTCGGTGACATTTCCAGTCACAGTGTTTGAGTTCAGAAGAAGATATTTTTGTTTTTAAAAAAAACCTAGTGAGTTACAGTATGTTTGCGCTTTTAGGAGACTTACAAAAATTTTCTTGTTTTTGGATTTGTACAAAAACGTAACCAGCATATAAATAGATCACCTAGCTCTGGTCCATGTGTATAAGTATTTCATTTGTCATAGCCCCTTAATGCTCTTCCATATCTCTATTAACATCACGTTCTTTAGGCAGATCATTTAGCATGGCGTTGATGTGTAACGCCCATGTGCAACATCAACATGCAGGAAGGTTTTGGTACTAACCATGACCGTGCAGCTTTCTTCTCACACCAGACTCTAAATTTAAACCTGTTGACCTGAAAACTGGACTTTACAACTGAAAGACAGGTTGTCAATGCTAGGCCAGCTACTTGCAAACTACCTGTTGACTTTCAGGCTTTTAAAATCTCTATTTTAGCTTGTTTAGAATGTGAAGAAAGAGATATTAGTCTTATGTGGAGTATTGACATATCTGAATGTTGGTTAATGGTTTGAGAGAAACACATGGATTAATTTCAACAGGTACATTTGCATGGCATTAGTCACCCCTGTTTCCTAGCATGAACCTCCTAAGAAACACACACAGATAGGATTAGATAAAGTTTACTTCTCCCTTATTACTGCCAGGGGGACTTACATTTGCTTACTTTCTCTATATCATTACATTAAAACTAGCCTGATTTATAATTATACTTGTAAAATAACAAAACATGGTTTACATAGTAGCAGGTTTAAAGTCCACAGCTCAGATGGGAGCTGTGGACTTTAAACACACCTCTCTGTGTGTATCTGAACCCCTATATCCTGTACCTGCACTGACTCCCTGTCTGTCTGTCTGTCTGTCCATCATCTTGGTCCCCTATCCCACTCTCCTCTCATCTCCACCATCGCCGTGCTTTCTGCATCCTCACCACCCTCCATTAGATTGTCAAAGAGTCCTATGAGGTAAGACACCAACCATCCCTCTCCTGTTGCAGAGCTGTTGTTGTTTTCTTGGCCTGATTTTTACAAGTGTAACTGCAACTGTAAAAAATCTAAAATTTACATTTTAAAATTTAGCGTTCCATATTGATGTTTTAATTGGGAAGAAAATGTATTTTTCTTTTACTGCACTCGCCATGTTTTACACACAATAATATGGTCGCCTGTGCGAGTTAAACACACTTCTAATAAAAGCAATGGAAGTCAGTAAAAATGGCAGAAATACAGAGAAATATAAGAGTAACTTTGATTACCCATCCGCCAGTTCTAGCAACCTGTGTCCTTTGACTGTATGGGTACAATGCACAGAGAAAGAAACAGGCAAATAAAATATATTCACCAAAAACTGAAGGATAGACTTGTTCGAAGGACTACTAGCACACTTAACCAGACAGTAATCCATGTTGTTTGTTAGATGGCTGCATTCAATCACTCCAAAGGCACAAACACAGAAAGGAATGCTACGTCCATGTCTCAAGCTAGCTAAGGTGTGGCCTAGCAGTTGGCTAATGGCTATAGCCACCTATGTTTAAACCTTGAAAAAGTTTAACAAGGTGAACTGCAAATTAATTCTGGTACAAGAGTTTCATACAATTCAATACAGGTGACCGGGCGTTTGTGGTTGTAGCGCTGAAAATGTGGAATGATTTACCTCTCCACATTAGAGAGGCCCCGACCGTCAATCTTTACAAATCCCATCTTCAACACGTTTTTACTCACTTTTAACACCGCATGAGAGTTACCTGTTTATCTACTTACTCATCGGTTACCAGGTATTTTTTATTTGTTATTGATGTTATGTGTTACTGTGTAATATTTTTTTATCATTGTAAATTACTTTGGCCAACATTTTGTTTTTTTTATTAAATGTGCTATATAAATAAAAATAAAGTAAAAGTACAATTCATAAAGTCATAAAATGTGTAGCAGCTATAGAGACCAAAATTATTTTGTCTGCCAAGATGTAAACATGCTTAATTTTAAGTGGCCACTCCAGGAAGCTCTTCGAGGTTGCTGCTTGTTGGGACTGGCTGTTAATAGTCGCCTTTCTCTCCCAGAGCTTGCAATATGAGGCTTAAATATGGGGTCATCATCACAGAATGAAAACATTTGTATTATGGCGACTTGTCCAATCCCATGGGGTGATTTTATTTCTTGTTCTCTTAAATCTATACACAGCTCCTCCTCTCATTTGATTACATTTTATTTGTATGGCAGCAAGTCACGACAAGAGGTGCTCAAGGTGCTTTGTATTATAAGACCCTACAGCAACCCCAACAATCAGAAGACCCTGTATGCGCAAGCACTTGGAAGCAGTGAGAAGGAAAAACTCCCTTTTAATAAGAAGAAATCTCCAGCAACACCAGGCTCAGGGAGGGGCGGCCATCTGCTATTGGGTGCGATGGGAGGGAGACGGGACAAAAGGCACACTGTAGAGAGACAGAAATTGATTTGATATGATTCAGTTGTGCTTATTTCTTGTTATTTCCTATAGTAGCTTCTCTATATACCTGACCTTCACATTGTAATGTGGCAAATGAAGAGAACGCAAACCTCCCTGCTTGTAAGAAAAACAGCCTCATTGTGTTCATCTGAGTAATTACTGTCATTCTTATTAGTATTGGATTGTGTGTTTCAGGAGGTGCAGGCATGCACAGTGGACATGGGCATTACTACAGACAGCTCTAACCACCCTGACAACAAAAACAAGAACCGATACATCAACATACTGGCCTGTATGTCATCCTTCACTGTTCACTGCATCGCTGTTCAACTTTTAACTGTGTAAGCCAGCAGGAATGTTGCTAATGACTCTTTTTACTTGTCTCAGACGACCACAGTAGAGTTAAGCTCTCTAACAGTTTGGACAGAGATGGGACATGCGGGGACTACATCAACGCTAACTTTGTTGATGTAAGTAAAGGTCCTTTTACGTGTACACACCTTACATCCAGGCTGCCGCAAACCAACTGATGTTTCCTTTTCCAGGGTTATGAGCGGACGAGGGCATACATTGCAGCTCAGGGGCCTCTAAAATCAGGCAGGGAGGACTTTTGGAGGATGATCTGGCAGCAGAATATTGGAGTTATTGTCATGATCACCAATCTGAAGGAGAAGGGACGGGTAGGAGCTCAAACACAAGCCTCACCGCAGACATAAGTGCAGTTTTATCTGATATCATTCACACTGACCCCAGGCAGCTGATTTCTTTTTAGTTTGTGTCTTCCATCTCTTGTCATGAGCAGACACCAGCTGATTCACTTCAGGTATTTCATTTAGTTTCACTGCAGTCTGACAGCTGAAAAACTGCAGAATGGACACTAGTGCAATCTGGCTTTGTTATACACTTGAGGACTTTCCTTTTGACATGTTTTCCTTGCGGTTTCAGATGTATTAGGCCTAAAATTAAACTACATCCACAGAATTTTTCTCCCTTTCTACAGACAAAATGTGATCAGTACTGGCCAGAGGAGAACCAGGAAGAGTATGGGTCTTATCAGGTGACACTGAAAAACACCAAGACACTTGCTTACTACACACTCCGGACGTTCACTGTCAGGGATACTGCAAATAAGGTAAGCCCTTCTCTCTATGCAGCGATAGTCCAAAGTGGCTTTGTGGTTAGGTTTCTCATACCCACTTCGATCCTCTAGGTATCTCAAAGGAGAGTTGAACACACAGTCCTCCATTACCATTACACCCAGTGGCCGGACATGGGCGTCCCAGAATACACTCTGCCCGTCCTCTCCTTCATCAGAGCGTCCTCCAGGGCCCGCACGCAGGAGATGGGACCTGTGTTGGTACATTGCAGGTAGAGTGTGTGTGGAATGATTTATTGCTCTTTAAGACTTACCACAATTTGATGGTGTGTGTACTGCTAACATGTGATGCATGTGTCTGTCACAGCGCCGGTGTGGGAAGGACAGGAACCTACATTGTGATAGACAGCATGCTGCAGCAGATCCAGGATCAAGGGACAGTGAACGTTCTTGGCTTCCTGAAACATGTCCGCACACAGAGGAATTTCCTTGTTCAGACAGAGGTAAGAGGGTGATACAGCTGTGGGAATTCACCTTTCCTTTTGTGGGGGCAATCCCAGAAATGTAATATCAATTTAAACATTTGCAAAGAAGGAAATAGTGGCTAGATTAAGGGTAATTTTAGCCGGTGTAATGAGGTCTGTACGGACTTACTCAACAACCACGTCACTGTGCAGATGGAGGCATTTGTCGATCTGTGTGTAAGCTCACTGCATGCTCCTTTTTCTTTTGGAGGATGAAGACGGAACGAGAAAAATATAGCCCCACACATTATTATTATTATTATATTAATACGCCGTATTCTCTTACAGCACATTTTTTGACAAACTGGGACTTGATTTCTGCTGCTGAGCTTTTTCAGTATAATTTTTGTACTTTTCGCGCCTCGAAGCCTCAAAGTCATTACTAGTTCCATTTTATTCAAGCACAGGCAAACTAGGCCACTTATATAAAGACAGTCTAGATGACTAAACAGCAGCAAGGGCCAGAGGAAACACATTCATATCAGATTTCTTTCTTGTAAAAATGTAACTCGTGGAATTTAAAAGTGTTTCACTAGTGTTCACAAAGACATACCTTACTAAAACCAGGAAGTCATTTTTTTGCTGTCTTCTAGGAGCAGTACATATTCATCCACGATGCCCTGGTTGAAGCTATTTTGAGCCGGGACACCTTGGTGACCTCTGACCTCCTTCACAATTACGTCTCTGACCTGCTGACCCCTGGTGCCACAGGCAGGACACGTATGGATAAACAATTCAAGGTACAGCATGCTTCCTTTTTCGCCCACCAACTTGTAATGAATCATTTGTGATGTTCCTGCCATGTGAATGTAACCAAATGTTTTTATTTTTGTGTTTCAGTTAATTAGTCAGCGTCAGGCGAAGCACGCAGACTACAGCACTGCCCTGAAAGATGGCAACGCTGAGAGGAACAGAGCCAGAGCTCTAATGCCTGGTAAGCAGATCTGGATTACTCACTGGGCAAAACCGGCAACTCCCAGCAATATGTTGCAGATAATTTCTGGAAATTTCAGTCCATACATAGCACACAATAAACCAGAAAGAAAGGCAGAGTTCAGAGTTCAAATATGACATGATATTTCGATGCAAATTATAACGTGATGTTTAGAATCCCCATAGTTAATCACTGTATGCCTGTATTGTCAGTGCAAACAGTGGCATTAAGAAAGAGTTTTGAATAGCTCTATACAAAGTTATGACTTTGACCTTTAGATCAATGCGTTGACCTAGAAGAAGAGGTCAGAGGTTAAATGTGATATTTCGGTTCAAGATTATGATGACAAGTTACCTGATGCCTCATCATTTCTTCCACAGCTTGCTCAATAATCCCTTATGGTTACTTTAATTAACTATAATGATGAACTTAAATGCAGGATTATTGTTTTTTGTCTTATTTTGGGGGCATTTTCTCTCTAACCTGGTTCTTCATGTCTCTGTGAAGTGGAGAGATCAAGAGTCACTCTGACTGCTTCAGAATCAAACTCCACAGGCTACATCAATGCATCCTACGTGATGGTAAGACCACTGGAAATTGCAAATGTTTTCCAGTCTCGAAAACCTCGAAATCAGCTGGTGGATAAATATTGCTGCTCGTATTTTCACAGGGACATCACTACACTAAGGAGTTCATAGTGAGCCAGACTCCTCTGAGCAGCACGGTGGCAGATTTCTGGAGAATGATCTGGGAACACAATGCACAGATTGTAGTCTGTCTGCCAGACTCAAACAGCCAGGTATAAAACACACACATACTCCATGTAGAACTTATAGATACCTATACATATAGATATATCTATATAAAACTACACACACATAAACATGTTTCCTGTTTATCTCAGAGAGACGAAGAGTGTCGTGCGTACTGGCCCAGTAAAGACCAGCCCCTGAGCATTGATGGCTTCACTGTGTCATACTCCAGGGAGGAGCACATGTGTCTGTCTAATGATGAGAGACTTTTAGTGCAGGACTTCACAGTCCAGTCTCCACAGGTAACACGCGATAAAAGAGAATATTTTACATCAATCAAAATGTTTTAATACAGTCTGAGACTTTAAAACTGTTTTTGCATCTAGAACAATTATGTGCTGGAAGTGCGTCAGTACAGCACCACCTGCTGGCCCAACCCAGACAGTCCGATCCGAAACAGCTTTGATCTCATTAACAGAGTCAGAGAACAGAGCACGCACACACAGGGACCGGTGATCGTACATGATCCGTGAGTATGAGTCAGACTCCTTTTAAGGACATAAAACTGTTTAAATCCGTCTAATGTTCTTAATGGTTTTTTTGTGGATGTGTAGTTTGGGAGGTGCTACGTCAGGACTGTTTTGTGCCCTCACGACCCTGTCCAATCAGCTAGAGGAGGAGGGATCAGTAGATGTCTACCAAGTGGCACGGATGACCAACCTCATGAGGCCTGGGGTATTTAATGATATAGTAAGTACTGGAATGTTTCCTTTTAATTCTCATCTACCAGCATAATTTAGAAAAAATAAATAAAATCAAATACATTGCACCAAATCACAACAACAGTCCTGTCAAGGTGCTTTATATTGTGAGGTAAAGACTCTACCATAATACAGAGAAAACTCCAACAATCAGAGAACCTCTTATGAGTAAGCACTTTGGCAAAAGCAGGAAGGAAAAACACACTTTTAACAGGAAGAAACTTGCGGTCACCGGACCAGGCCGTAACTATATGCATTATCAAAAAGGAACGTTTTAAGCCTAATAAAAAAGTAGGGAGGGTGTTCGTCTGGCCAAACTGGAAGCTGGTTCACAGAAACAGGGGCCTGAAAGCTGAAGACTCTGCCTCCCATTCTACTTTTAAATACCCAAGTAAGCCCACAGTCTGAGAGCTAAGTGCTCTATTAGGGTGATGTGATGCTATGGGGTCTTTAAAATAAGAGAGGACCTAATTATTCAAGAGTTTGTATATGATGGGAAGGAATTCAAATTTGATTCTGGAGTTAACAGGAAGTGTGCTCTCTCTTTCTTGTCCCTGTCAGTACTCTTACTGCAGCATTTTGGATCAACTGAAGGTTTCGGGGGGGGGAGTTGTTTTGTTTATTTAGGACAATCTGATAATAATGAATCACAACTGTCCAGCCTAGAAGTAATAAATGGATGAGACAGGTAACAAGTACAAGCTTTTACCAGTGTTCTGCCTCTTTACTCCCTACAGGAGCAGTACCAGTATCTGTACAGAGCGGTGTTGAGCCTGGTGAGCAGTCAGGAGGACCAGAGAGCTCTGCAGAATCCAGAGACCAACGGATCTGTACCGCTGGGCCAGACCAACATCGCAGAAAGCCTGGAGTCGCTCATGTAGACATCCACACAAAAATGCGCATGAAAGAGAAAATAAATCACACGAGCACACATTTGAGATTACGAGGAGAAAAGAGTAGGTCTGCTGATCATGCTAATACTTTCATTTACCACAAATTCAAAAATCATTATTTATAAGATCATTTTTCAAAACAGAACAATCTAATGAAATGACATTTAATCTAAAAGACCTCTGGTCTAAAGTCTTTTCCCTTATTATGAAGAAAATTCTTACTCTGCCCGACAAGCGATGATGAAACACCTGAAAGTGTCCCTTTTGTTATGTTAGCATGCACAGCAGACAAGGCTACCAGATGAGAGAAAAAGGTACCCTTCTGCTTCTAAGGGACCCTTTATAAGTGAACAACAAACAAAACCCTGCATCATTTATAACAATACATTATTATTTTATTTTTAATCATCATTTAAAGCATTAGTTGGAATTAGGGGTGGCACGGTGGTTAGCACTGTTGCATCACAGTAAGAAGGTCCTGAGTTCAAATCCATCAGGCCGGGGTCTTTCTGTGTGGAGTTTGCATGGCCTCTCCGGGTACTTTGGCTTCCTCCCACAGTCCAAAGACATGCAGTTAGTGGGGTAAGGCTACTCTAAATTGCCCATAGGTGTGAATGGTTGTCTGTGTTAGCCCTGCGACACACTGGTGACCTGTCAGGGTGTGCCCTGCCTCTCGCCCTAAGACAGCTGGGACAGGCTCCAACTCCCCTGCGACCCTGAAAGGATAAGTGGAAGAGAATGGATGGATAGTTGGAATTAGGGGATAGTGGTAAGAAAGTCTCCATGTCTGTACCTGACACTGGTCAGCATGAAGTTTTTTTGTTTATTTCTAATGACAGATCCCTTATAATTAAATTCAATCTGTCTATTAATGTTTCTTTTATCTATTGTTTCTTTCATTTTATTAGTATATTCTTTTATTACCGTCATAGGTTACACCTTCCTTCTAAGAGAAAATAAATCAATATTAGAGAAATGCACAGGCAAAATGGAATTGTAGAAATGCCGATAAATATAGATAAAGTGCAAATTCTTACTTTATTGTTAAAAAGGGAAACAATGCAAGACAACCCTTCGTTTCCCTGCAAAATATCAAATGCACTGCACATTAACCAGCACATTGTGGGGCTTAAACTACCACGTATCCTTAATTAGAATCATGTTCTTACTAGCCAAACCTCTCCGAGGCCTCACTGGTGAGAACTGAAGCAACTGCTCGTTTTTTTTTTTTACGTTTACGTCACCTTGCAACTGGCTCCATGGTCCGTGGTACCCAGTGCCTTTTGTACGTCACGTTATTGTACTTTTAAAAACCTGTTTGTGTGACTAATATGCCAAAATCCTGGTGAGGTATTTTTATCTATTTTCTTCAAGGTGATTCCCTGTGTTGGTGATCTCGTTAAAAAAATGCCATCAGTTTCAGCTGTTTTGTTTAAAAAAGGAAAAAAGAAACAAAAAAGATCAAATCTGGGATTTAAAGTGATGTGCGGCTCAAAATCCATTTGAAAATAAATCTTAAGAGATGACATTTCTTATTTTCTTATAGATGTAGGCAGAGATAAGATTTTTTTTTCTTTTTTTGCCATCACGTTGTAAAAATTTACTGCTGTGAAACGAGACAAGGGAGGAATTAATAGAAACTGCCCATATTCTTGATATTTTGGGAGGCTTAACGTTCTGTTAATACTCAGCGGCACAGGCTGGCAATGAAATTCTTGGTAGCGCTTGCTGTGACTGTTTCCATTTTTCTAAAAGGGTCCAAGTATTTTCTATTGCATCAGACACATTTAGCCAACCTGTGAATCTCTTTCTGGTGTAAATCACAGAGACCGCAGCTGAACACGCTCAGAGCAGTCCTAACTGGAATAAAAAGTCTTTATGTGTAAAGATCCCAGAATACTTTAAAGGCCAAATTACTGTATGTTTATACTGTACCTCTACATATTTTCTATTTTACTACAAAAAGTGATTTTCTAGTCCTTTCCACACACACACACGCACACACATACATATATATATATATATAACTGTGTGGATTCTATTTGATAATTTTAGCCTGGAAAAATTGATCATGTTTATAGTTTTAATGAAATGGCATCTCTTTTTATCTCTATAATTACAGTAGCAGCTTAATGTCTACACCTTTATCTCCAGCTATGAACTGGTGCTGTATGTATAATGCAACAAGATTAAAGATTTGTTCAAACCTTTATTGTAGACATCTTCTCGTCTTTTCAAATTATCATTATTGGACTCAAAGAGAAGTAAAGACATGGAGCATTACATGTTTATCACACTTTTATTTTGACTATAATACACTGTATTGCATTGTCTCCCCTGATGGACCTGTACATGACATGATGGCAAAGACAAAAAGTCAAATAATCCAAAGCACAACCACGAAAAGTTACCAAAGATAAGTCAAAACCAAAAATATAGATTTCTATATGATCATATTAATGTTTATCTTTACACATTATACTGTAGCAGTCACAAAAAAATAGTAGATAAAGTGTATATAGTGCATTAAGAATAAACCTCGTTGTGCAGTGGGAGTTAAGAGTGCCCACCCTTCCTGCACTCTGCCTGGATAGCAAACCTACACAAACCCACTCTCTCATAATAATTGTGTGACATCTCTAAATCCTCACACAGCTGAGTTCCCATACACCTGTTGAATTCCAAACATTTCTAGCAGTGGGTGTGTTTACATGCACACGGGGAATATCTCCTGTTTTTTTATTAAGGTATGACGATTCAGCCCCGGGTCGCGCTTTTCAGGCAGAAGGTTTTCCGAACTGAGACGCGTTTCACTTTCAGTTATTTAGTAAGAGGAACAGTACTGTTAGTTTTTTTTTAATGCTTATGACTGTATACCAGAATTCTTCTTAGTGCCTTTGGCAAGCATTCCCTACTATCAGTGAGGCCTCAGGGCTGCTTTATTTCCTTTCCCATTTTCATCTTTGAGATTCTAAATTTTACAGTGTAAACAATTTTACATTTACAATGTAAATGTAAAATGTCCTTCCTTCTTTACTCTTTACAATGTGCATGTAAACACATTCACAAAGTTGTTTATTTTTGCCAAAAACAAAACATCCTGAATAAAATACACCACAAAACCTCATCATCGTACATTTCCCTGTTTCTGATCACATCGACTGCTCATGATGATTTCTTGGCATTTAGCTTCACCGAATGTTCACAGTAGCGGTTAATCAATGGGCACGTCATAATGTATGTATGTATGTGTATATATATATATATATATGTATATATATGTATGTATATATATATATATGTGTATATATATATATATGTATGTGTATGTATATATATATGTATGTGTATATATATATATATGTATGTGTATATATATATATATGTTATATATATATATGTATGTATATATATATATATGTGTATATATATATGTATATTTGTATTACTAATTTATTTTTATTATTTTATTTATTTATTTTACACGAAGTCAAGCCACCAGTAGTCACAGGTAAAGTTAAACTTTAAGCAGTGGGATTATTTACTGTCCAAGTAATTGTCATTTAATTCAAAGTACAATTAGAGTGTGGTTCTACTTCCTTAAATACATTTCTTATTTCAAAATAAAAGCTTTGGGCAAGTGAGGGATTCAAGGAGTTCAGGGAAGCTTTAACCCTGTAGAGTTTTAAGCCTCGTCTTCATGTAAAGCAACTTGTTTCTGGTTGTTGGTGGACCAGCGCACAGATGACCCTCTTTAGATGACCTAGAGTTACTGCACCACCACATTTCAATGGTTTTCTTTACCTCCATTGTTGGCCACTAGAATTGTTAACCTCAAAGATGAAAGAGCTTTAACTTGGGTTGACATTTAATGGTTATTTTTCCCTTCATCACTTCAACTTGATGAATTCAAATGATATTATGCAGTCTCTTGGTTTGTCACGCGATCACAAGGGTGACGTGATGCACAGTCCTCCAAATGACACGGCAGGTTTAGGTCACTAACGCCAAATGTAAACACATTTGTTTACATAACAACTCCACGAGGAACCCTTACTGAGAAAAACTGAAGCACTACTGGAGACTCACTAAAATACAGCAAATTATTATTATTGCTGCTAAAAAAGGCCACATTTAATTTGTGGGGAGGTGAATAAAACCCAGGCCCCTGTTTAAGAGTTTGTGGTGTTTCATTATTAAATGCTACGTGATAAATGAAAGCAAAGTTAACATATGTAGTCTTGTGCAATAACACTGAGTCCAAATACAAGTAATACAGACAATAAAATAAATTGTATATTTCTTATTGTACAATATAGAATTTTGGAAAAATAGCTACATTCTCTACTTTGGCTAAAAGCACCACAACTTCCACCTGTTTCAAGCATAGTGTGAGAAACTGAAGATCATCAGAATCTCTTCTTTTTTTGTGGATATTATCACATTGATGTAAGAATCACGTGTAGAGACGAACTTTGCTCATTGGAGCTAAAATCCGTTCATCTCTTTGGAAAAATATCCGGTCCCCGGCAGGAGACACTACGGGTGTCCCGCAGCATTTCAAAAAAAAGGCGATGTTTGACACCTCTGCTAATTCCTATTAAGAAATAATGATTTATAGCACTTCAAGATTTTATAAGTAGCACCTTTGAAAGGCAAGAAAAAGGAAAGTGATGTTTGTTGAGAGCAGCCCAAGGTGTTCACCAGGGGCAGCTGTTTGTTTGTTTTTGTTTTTTTGCATTACTATAACAGGATTCAGGGATTTAGGAGATCAAGACAAAACAAATATAGAACTAAAGCGTAATATTCGGTTATGCATAGCTCTTTTTTTTAATGTGCGTATGTGAGTGCGTGTGTGTGTGTGTGTACACAACAGGCTCTGTCAGTTGTCCTCTTTTCTTTTCTGTAGCCTTAATTTCCTTGACAGCCCTGCAAGACAAAGAGGCAGGATGAAGCAGAAATACAAAACAGTGGGTGAAGCTGTGCAGGCGCATGTGTGTACTCACAGAGTTGGTTCGTTTCCGTTTCCAGCAGTCTGGGTTGAGTCTTTTCTGCTCGTCTGCGAGTGCTTTGGCCTGCAGGGTGAACACGCGACGCTCCTCACTTCGCATTTTCTTCCACCGCTCACCGAGGAGGACGCTGATGGCTCTGATGGCAGACGCACACATTTACTAACACACACACCTGATTACTCCTACACAACACCCACGCTAACAACCATGGCATGCACCCACCTGTTGTCTTTGCCCGGGTACATTTGCGTGTATTCCACTCTGAACTTCTTGGCAAACAGCATGAATGCATTCATTGGCCGCTTGCACTTAGTGGGTGTGGCGCTGCTGCCTCCTTGTGTACTGAGCAGCTGGTTTTTGGGGGGCTTTTGCTTAGTGGCGTGGGAATGACTGGGACTGTGCACATCTGTGGGTTCAAAACAGGGTTCACATGAATTTTTTTTTCAGGGATTTTTGCATCTTGCAAACTGAACGGTATCAGTGAGTAAG